CCGAGGGGGAGGGGGACGAAGAGGCAGAGGAATAGGAGTAGGAGGAGGAGGAGGAGGAGGAGGAGGAGGAAGAGGAGGAGGAGGAGGAGGAGGAGGAGGAGGAGGAGGAGGAGGAGGAGGAAAGCTATCTCGGAGCGAGCGTCTGCACGCCCAATGGGCCACTGCGCGGCGCGCGCCGCTTCCCCCTTCGCCCCTGGGACCACAGTCCCAGGAGGCGAAGGACATGGCGCTGTTGCTGTGCGACGCGCCGCACTCGGACACCATATATGTTGTGTCATGTATACTATCCCTTCCTCCTTCAACTCATCGAGCCCCCCCCCGTCCTCCTCCTTCTTTATTCCTGCTCCCCCTCCTTTCTCATCCCCATCGATCGCCGATAGGAGTTCCAGCGCACCAGCGCGAGCGAAATCCTAGTGAGGCTGAGGTGCCGGTTCGATCCATGATGCGCGAAAAAAACGCGCCCGCGGGCGCATCCCCTTCTTTCTGGGCCCTCGATCCCCATTTCCTCGTTCTCGCGATCGTCCTCCTCGATCCTCTTCGACCCTTGCTCCTCGCGACTTGCCTCCTATAGATCACGTCCTCCTCGGCCCCCGATCTCATCGTTGTCGATCCTCGATCCTCCTCGATCGTCGATTCCCCATCGATCCCCATCCCCTCGGCCCCCGATCCACACATCAATCCTTCCTTGCAAGCCCTCGATCCTCGATCCCAGTCTCCCCCGACTGCAAGTTTCACGCTTCAGGCATGCGCCTGCCCGCGCTCGTTGCGTTTCGACCCCCGCAGGTCGCCCTCGAGCCCCCCCCTCCTCGCGCCCGGTCTCGGAACCGCGCCCCGCCGTATTTCTGGAGAATGTCGCGGGGATCACGAGCAAGTCAAGCGACGTACGCTCATGATCACACATGTATGGCGCGGGTCCAAAACACACATATATATATATATATATATATATTCCTCTTCCTATATTTTTACAAGCCCGGGCGGCCGCAAAACCCCGCACCCCCCCCCCCCCCCAAACCGGACTCCTGGGATCCTGGGACTTTGGGACCCTCCGGACGCCCATTGAAGCGGTCCCGAGTGCCTCAAGAGCGCTCCAAGACAGGCACAAAGCGCTCCAAGACGCCAAAGATAGCCCCAAGACAGCCTCAGGAGCCCCCAAGACGCCCCAAGCGGCCCCAAAGAAGCCCCCCAAGACGGCCCCGGGAGGCCGAAATGGTCAATTTTCCAATGTGTTTTTCGATGTTTTCTGCTTTCTCGCCATTTTAGCTTTCCGACGCTCCAAGACAGAACTAGAGGCCCTCAAGAGCGCCCCAAGATGGCCCGGGGGGGCCCCAAAACGGCCCCAACACGGCCCCAAGACGGCTCTGGAGCGCCCCGAAACAGCCCAAGAGGCGCCCAAGAAGGCCCAAGAGGGCGCCGAGAAAGCTTCAAACGAGCCCCCACAGGGCGATCAAAGTTCAAACATCTAACTTTCCGCCCCAAGTGGGCCCCAGGAGGGCCGCGCTAGACGCCAACGCGCGCAAGGGTTGAAGGACCAAGGTGCATGGCGCGAAGCGCCAATGCAGTCTTGTATATATATATATATATATATATATCTCACAATCCTTCTTCACAGTTCCTGCATGCAACGGCGCAGATCGTATGCGATCTGCGCCGTTGCATGCAAGAACTTATATGTTACGCGATGCCCCGCAAAAAGTGCTCGATACATCCTCCACAGCCGCTGGGCGTCAGAGACCCCCGGGGTCGAGGGGCGGGAAGAGTCGGCGATGCAGGAGGCGGAGGAAACACCACATCATGGAATTCGAAATTAAATCTCTTGCACTTCCCCCCCCGACCCGAAACCCCATCCGAGCTCCCTCCCCCCCCAGCGCCTCTGTTCGCTCAGGAGCGCGGCACGTGCCCGTCGCGAAAGCGACAACGTGGATATACGCATACGATCGTCGGAAAATACACCTCGTCCCTGCCCCCCCCTCTTCCTGCGCGTGTTCGACGCCTTTCGATTTTTCCTGCAGCTCACGGCGCAGTCCCCTTCTCCTCCTCACCCCTCAACCCCCTCGGTGCACTGCGGCTGTTGTTTTTGTTTGGGCGAACGTGTTCCGACGCAGCCGCCAGTTGACTGTACACGCCGCCGCCGCCGCGCGTGC